CAGCAGGAAAATGACATGATCAGATGTGTGCTTTGGAGCCATTCTTGTTTTAGTGTGAGGGATGAATTACGGGCCCAGAGATCAATTAGCAGCCCCTGCATTAATGTTGGGCAAGCCCTCCTTGGGTCAAAGCACTCACAGAGGGAATAGAGTTGTGGGTGGTTCAAAGAAGGGTGAATCTGGAGGACGTGGTCAGTGAGTCAGATAGAGAAGTCTGGGGACTCTGGGTTTCTGGCTGGGGTTGCTGGGGATGAGATGAAGAGGAGGATGTGGGAAGGGTGTGGACTCTTTGTGCTTGTGGGAGTTCCCAGTGAGCTGTCTAGGCAGGAGGCTGGATACGTGGGGAGATGCCTGGACTGGGATGGAGAGAGAATCATCAGCTCACGCTGAGCACTTGAAACCATATGTTCGGATGAGGTCATCCTGGAATCCTAACAGGGTGTGAAGAACAGCAGCCTGGGATGGCTCTCAGGGCAACAGCAACATTGAAGGGAACGAGAAGGAAGAAAGTTCGCCATTTAGCACTTCAACCAAGTTAAAGATTTTCAGGATTGAAAAAGCATTTGGAGCCTTAGCACCACAGTTAATTTTGAGTGTTCATTTAAAGTGCATTGCTGTGTTCTTAGGAGATTCTTTTTCCAGCATGGCTTTAGAATATGTTTTCAACATATCTTTCCTACATAAAGATTAGTCATAATGAGTAATAATAATGGTACAATCCAAGAATTACAATCCACTAAGATGAGGAAAGTAGATTCTTTACTGTAGAATCTACAGTATTCATTATGATGTTCATTCCTTTTACAAATATTATGAGGGGCCTGCTCCAAGCAATTTCTGTGAAATCTTTAGGTCACTCTGCCTTTCACTGAAAAATTACAGTATTAAAGTGTTTGCAACTACGTTCTTAAATTAATAAATTTTTACTTAAAAAAGATATACATCTGGATTAGCTTTTCTGAATTACTTATTGCCAAGGTCTATGGGAAGACCTCTGTGCTTTGAGTTTATAAGCATTTTCCTTTCTACGTAATAATAGTTGACTTTCATGTAGCACTTAATGAAAATTTTCCCAGTGCTCTCACAGGTATTTTTTAATTTGATCCTCCTAACCAGCAGCTGAGATGGGCCAGACAGGCATCATTCCTATTTTCCTGATGTAGAAATGGAGGCTCAGTGAATAAGTTCATAATTTAGGAAGTAAGTGAACCAGAATTTACCCCTGGTCTTGTGACCACAATTTCAGTGCTCTTTCCACGAAAAGGGACATGTTACTCAGAGTGTAGATGTCAGTTTTTTTTTTAAATGGCAGGTTTGTAGAAAATTGACAAATGCATTTCTTTGTCTTTTCATTTTTGTTTAACCTGAGTGGAGGCCCACTATTTCAGTAACAGGTGCATATCTTCTACTGTTAATATGGAACATTGAACTGTTGGAAATATTTAATTTCCCCTGTGGGATATTCAAGAACTTCTGCCTCTCCAGTGGAAAAGTGGAGCTGCCAGCACCCTGTGAGGGAGTGTGGCTTACATGTGACCTGATGACTAGCAGCCTTCTCCCTTAGGCTGGCTTAAAGGGGGTAGGATAACCTTGTCAGCCCTTGTCAACATTCTGCCTTGCCCTGAGTGTGTTGGGGGCATTTGGAGGGTTAGATGTGGTCTACCCTGGATTCTGGTCTTCTCTCCTATTCCTGACCTATTTGTCCTTCTGTTCATTGATTCATTGGTGATTGATTCACTCCTTCTAAGAACTGTGGATGTGTGAAAAGCACCCTGGGAAAATGAGTTACACACAGACACACACACACACACGCACACACACGCACTAAGGGCAGGGTACCTGGGTTCTGTTTCATTTCCACCTCTGGGCAGGATCCACTTTACCCTGACCCAATCACACTATATGTAAGAGGGCTTCTTACTAACAATTGTCTTTATAGTCCCTCGTATAATTTAGAATACGCTTTTAAGAAAAAATGGCCAAAACGTTTAGAGTATTGTTATATTGTTGTCTTGTTTTTATTGTCTGTCTTCTAAATGACTTTAAAAATACATAATGAAAAGATTTTAAAATAAGACTTTTTGGAACATTAACTCATCATCCCTGTATATATACTGAGGGCAAGCAGTGGGGCAGAAGTCTCCAATGCAAGAGCAAAGCATTACTTTAGAAGGTGAACTTGATAGGTGGCAAAAGCGATTTAAGGGAATGTGGACTATTTTTCTCCTTCTCTCTTAATCCCCTGTCCTGAAAAATTCTCATTTAATTATCTGCATAACAGAATGGAGGTACTCTGTCCAGAAAACCTCATAATCTTTTTTCTTCTTCTGCTCTAGAGTGCTGACGGCCTGCTTTTCAGATGTGCTAAAGCAAAGCAGTAAGAAATGCCTAAAATTTAAGCCCTGAAGTCTTTTTTCAAAACAAAAAGTTAAAATATTTAAAATGAAATTCAGTTAGCAATGAATCGTTGTGCCAAACTTAACACTTTTTTTTTTTTTTGGCGGTACGCGGGCCTCTCACTGTTGTGGCCTCTCCCGTTGCGGAGCACAGGCTCCAGACGCGCAGG